GGGGGGGGGGGGGGGTGGATGAGAAAAGAAATGTATAGCTGGTATGTAAAAGTATGGGAGTCTGCGGGCTTCCCATAAAATAAAAGTATTACTTGTATTTCGGCAATTGAGCTCTACCCTGTTTCCCCCGAAAATAAGACCTACCCCGAAAGTAAGACCTAGCACTATTTTTCAAGATTCCTGTAATATAAGACCTACCCCGAAAATAAGACCTAGTTTGGTGGTAGCATGTGAGGGGGAACTTGCAGGAGAGATGGTATCAGCCTGCAGGGACATGTTGTATTAAGGGAATGACAGGGGACTCCATCAAGACAGCGCAGTGACCGGGAGCACGCCAGTACCATACTTCACCAACTGCTGTCCCCGAAGGCACTGCTTAATGTAATGTTACTGTACTGTAATGTGTACCGGTAAATGGTACCGTACTTTACCATGCTGTCCACTGTCTGATGTCCCCACTGCTGCACCGCTGGTACCACTGTCCCTGGTGGCAAAGGAAGCCGGCGCTGTAGAAAGCAAGGCTGCGGCAGCGGAGGGAGCAGAGCCGCATTAGCCGATACTTCCTCTAGAGCGCCAGTTACTGTGACAGGCGGAGTGATACCACATAACTTTGGATTGTTGTACATTTTGTTGCACTTTAAAAAAAATATAAGACATCCCCTGAAAATAAGACCTAGTGTGGTTTTTGGGGGCAAAAAAAATCTAAGACAGTGTCTTATTTTCGGGGAAACACGGTAGCTGGTCACAAATGGGGGAAGATCTATTTACAGTATATGTCACAGAGCTCTGTACGGCATGTTATATAACCCCCGTCCAAGCATTGTTATTTGCACATACAATCGCCAGACACTTTATTAGGTACGCTTGTCCTACTGCTCCTAAATGCAAATATCTAATCAGCCAATCACATGGCAGCAACTCAATGCATTTCTTGAATATGATAATGAGCTCACGGTACTCAATTGGCCTCCACAGTCACCAGATCTCAATCCGAGAGAGCACCTTTGGGATGTGGTGGAACGGGCAGGGCCGGATTTCCCACAAGGCCAACCGAGGCCCGGCCTTGGGGCAGCAGGGAGTAAAGGGGCAGGAGGGGTGTGGAATTCCTATCTCCCGATGCATGGGACATGCAGTTCCGGGCGTCGGGCGGGAAGTTGTTTTCTGCATTTAGCCCGACTTTGGGCAAGCAGAGCTGAACGTACAGCGGGGAAGTCGCCGCTTGTTTTGTACAAGTGATCTCGGTGATGTCGCCGAGATCACTTGAATGCAGCCTGCGGGTCTGCCATTCTCCATGGGGGGTGGATTGGCGGGTAGGGGGGCGCATTGAGGAACCTGGCCTTGGGGCAGCAGAGAGAATAAATCCCGCCCTGGGAACGGGAGAATGAACAATCTTTTCGGGTGAAAGTAATGTAATATGATGTAATACCACAATATGGCCACTAGATGGCGCTGAAGAGCATAGGAAATAAGTGCATGCAAATACAGTCTGAATAGGAACGCCCCCTTTCTCCAGGTCAGGAAGGCATATTGGTATTTGCATAACTCCTCTCAAGATCCAGCCCACTGCTTGCATCAGAGCTGAGGGAAATTGACAGAGGTACAGAGGTAGGGTGCTGTGATGTTTTCAGGAAGCTATCTACAGCACCCTGTCGGCTCCTCCCACCAGCATTGCATAGAGAAGCACAAGAAACCCAGTGATGATATCACTACATCTAAAATAAGGTATGCATTGGAAACAGAATATTTTTATTTAAACATTGCATTAGAATGTTGTTAGGGGAGGAGAGAGGGGCGGAGGAACCAGGGAAACAAAATATAAGCACTTCACCTTTAATGATCAAGTCACTGTATAGTACAAGAGAGTTGCTGGAGGCTGGCTCATGGTTTGGGGTCCCCTTGCAGGAACTGATGGGCGTACTTGAGTGTGTCCTGCAAGTCCTGGTACCCCGCGTGCGCGCAGGCCTCTCGTAGCGGCAGCCACCGGAAGTCCTGGTGCTCATTGGAGAGTTTCACCGGTGCGCCGGGGTCTCTCAGCTCCGCCAGCCAGTAGATGACACATTTTGCTTTGTTGTTGACGTTGTAGTTTAATTCTTTCTGAAACCCGTCCACAATGTTGAACTGGCCGGGGCGTAGACCCGCCTCTTCCTCCGTTTCCCGCAGGGCCGTGGTCATGTCGTCCTCGCCGGGGTCCACGTGGCCTGAAATACGGTAACGTGATCAACATTCACCTGGACCCTACCAGAGTTTGGGTTAGGAGCTTCAAAAGGCACAGTGGCTCAGTGGTCAGCACTCCTGCCTTGCAGCACTCGGGTCCTTGGTATGTAACCCGGTCAGGGCACTATCTGCATGGAGTTTGCATGGGTTTCCTCCCACACCCCAACGCACCTGGGAGGATAATAAGTGCATGTATGCGAGATAGTGGCCTTAGATCAGTGGTGGCGAACCTATGGCACGCATGCCAGGGAGGGCACGCCGGGCCCTCTCTGCTGGTACGCGAGCAGACGTTCAGGGACCTCCAATGGAAATAGATCCGACCGACCCGGATCGCCTCAGTATGTGATCCAGGCCAGTCACAATCAGGCAGGGGCGGCGGCCTCTATACAGGCAGATTAGACGGCCACTTCCTCCTCGCTAGGACCCATTCTAATGTACAGCTCCATGTCGCCCGTCGCTTCAGCAGGACCCTTTTTCCCGCCGATGTCGCGCGACTTTTCTATATTTTTAATGCAGCCCGACAGTGAAGGTCACGCGATCTTTGCTGGAACGTCGCCCCAAACAGTCGCGCTATCCCGGCCCCGCTTGTAAGGTATGTCGCTTGGTGTGAATGGGGCCTAAGGCAGTGATGTTGAACGTTTCTTAAACCCGAACTGCAATACAGTACTAAACTTATTTTCAGCGCTGGCACTTTGAGGTAAATAAATTGATTTTGCGTCGCA